AAATAAAGTATCAAGACCAACTTTTGGTGTCAAAATGTCTTTTTTAAAAAAAAAAAAATTTTTTTTTCCTGGAATTGGGGATTGAACTCAGGCCCTTGTGCTTGCCAGGGAAGTGCTTATTCCACTGAGCCTTCTCCCCAGCCTTTGGTGTCCAAATGTCTTGAGTACAAAATTTGGTAAGTTTCAAGCTGTAGAGTGCCAAGATGTGGATATATTTCCAAATGCAAGAGGCTAATTTAGAAAATTAAGCAATAGAGGCCTGTTACAGGCTCATGTGTCCACAGAACCCAAATGGGGAAAATAAATGTGCTTTTTGTGAGAATCTGTGTGTTGACTAGTAGTGGGTATAGAATTTGAAGACCCTTGGTAGGCTGAAACTAGAAGAAATTTTCTTAGGCTGGGGAGATGGCTCAGTAGAATAAGCACTTCTTGGCAACCGTAAGTGTCTGAGTTCAATCCCTGGTTCCATCTAAATAAATAAATAGAAGAAATTTTCTTTTTGTGCAATTTTAGCTAAGTCATGGAAGAATGAACAACTTTTACACTAAAGTAAGAGTTAATTAAAGCTGCTAATTATAATTTGTAGTAGTTGAATAGATGTTTCTATTTGATCTGAAATGGCATAAGAAAATCTTTGCTATGGCAAACTCAAGTCATAAAAAATATAAAGCAGTATACAATAATTACTTTTATTTCTTTCTTGTTACTAATAATTTTTAAACATTAGCTAAGCATGTTTATGATGTTCAAATCTATGTTTTGTTTCGAAGGCTCAAAGTTTGCTGGGCATAATTTTTTTTTTTTAACATTTAGGTTTAGAATGACTTTTGTTAACCAGGTTTCACTTTTAAGCCTCAATCATTATCAACAGAGATCTTATGTTTGAAACAAAAATTACTGAGTCTGAAACTCTTGGTGTTACTTGTCCAGAGATTAGGAGTCCCACAAAGTTCAACTGAAAGTACAAGAGCAACTGGAGGGAATGGCATTTCATTTCTTTGGGACACTGTGCAACTTGATAGCTGGAACAAAAAGTAGCATAATCCACGGGGGAGAAACATAGGATGCGTTGTCCTTTGTGCAGCTTGCTCCCTGTTGGCTGCTTCAGTACTGGAGGGTAGGAGAGCTCAACTCTTTCTGTGGTGTCTGTTTCCTACAACAACTCTTTGAAAATACAGACTTAGACTCTTGGAAATAGGATGTAACTGCATCAGTGTTTCTCTTTTTGTAGAAAATTTTAATCAAGTTATCCAAGTATCTAAAACACATGAGGTTTCTGAATCTATTCAGTTGACATTGATTTCTGCATTCTAGATAGGACTTAGTAAAAGAAAGGGGAATATTAACTTTCTTAGTGCTCAATGACTTAATTAAGCAGCCTGGATGATCAGAAGAATTCAAATCAGTAAGGTAGCACTTACTTAATATGTCTGAGAACTCTTCTACCTGAATTATCTGTCAGGAACCTGGTATATTCAGGGAGATAACCACATTACTATGGTGTGAAGAGTTCAGAGCAAATGGAAGAGAGCGGAAGACAAGATCATCAGTAGCCTGGATAATTTAGTTAACTGATGACTATGCAGTGAGGTAATGTAACAGATAAGGATGCTTAGCATCAACTGGAGGGTATTTCCCAGGGAGCAATTTGCAAAATTGTTTGGTGTCTCTCAAGTTCAAAGATAATGCGAGACATACATGAGTATGTATGTGAAAAAAAAAGCACAAAATAATTTCAAATGTTCTGAAAATAGTAAAAAAAATGATGGCAAGAAAATTATCAAGAAAGTTACCCTAAGTTGTGAGAAGTTGAATGTTTGGAGTAGTTTATTTATTTTTTTTCCCCTTTAATTCTGGAAAATATATTCTGAACCAGGGAAGGAGCCTGAGTGTTTTGGTCTTTCTGTTATTATCAATGATAGTAATAGCCATTAATCCCAATGCTCCATTCTTAGATAGAATATAAAAAGCTATAAATTTTAGAATGATTCAAATTACTATTTATTTATTTATTTATTTATTTATTTATTTATTTTGCGGTGCTGGGGATTGAACCCAGGACTCAGCACTTGCCAGGCAGGC